GTAACTAGAAACTAAGATTAGCGTTGCAAAGGCGTAACCAGGGAGAGAATTAAGTTAATATACCTGCTTCTTTAAAGACGTGGATTTTTAACTTTAATTTATAATAGGATTTCTCCTAATGCCTTTAACATATAGAAAATTAGCGTATACTTGTTTATTTAAAATATATTCCAAATAAATTCTAACATTATTTAAATATAAAAATAAACATGAATTTTAACTTAACGAAAAACTAAATAACAATATAGAGGGACTTGATAATAAAATTACAATTTTTTTTTGTCCCGGTCATGTAAATATTTTTTTAAATATTGTTATTGTAACTATTTCAAACAGCAAAATATACATATATTAAAAAAAATAAAAAAATTTAGTGCATTTCATTACTCTTCCAGGTTTATTTCGTATTACTCTCCTTATTTTACTCTGTGTTCATAATCAATCTATTATTCTTTGGCTGCAAGGAATATTTATATGCTTTTTTTACAACAAAGTAAAGGTTTTGCTGCAATATTTCGATCTGCTGGACAACTTTTCACTTATTTACTTCAATGATTTAATTTTTTATTCTTTCATTACAAATTTTAATCAAAAAATGCCCTCAACAATGACAATTCTCTTAAAATATTCACACTTTTTCACTGTGTAGTACACCTTTTTTTTTTTCAATATTGTTGAAATGAACATATAGTTTTCAAGAAGCTTCCGAAGATCTTACAAAAAAAAAGTTAGACATGTGTGTTTTTACAAACTTTTTGTATATCTATATATATATATATATATATATATATATATATATATATATATATATATATATATATATATATATATATATATATATATATATATATATATATATATATATATATATATATATATATATATATATATATTTATATATATATGCATTTTAGAGTTTTCTTTTTTTGAGAAAGAAATTTAATTAAAAAATAGAATACTTTTTCTTTCTGCTGCTAGCTTTTCCTTTTGAAGCATGTTAAACATTACTACAAAAAAAACAGCTAACTTCACAACTCAGTGAAAGAAAAGCTTATATTATAGTTTATTTTCATAAAAAAAATGAAACATAATAAATCAGTTATTGTAGCATATTTTATAACAAATTCAATCAAAACTTTTTGGAAAAAAAACATGATGTCCTGATTTGTGATTTGAAACACATTTCAAATAAACATTTTGAAGTCCAAATTTAAGTATTTTTTATTTAATAATGTATACTTCAAAAAAAAAATTGTATAAATTCTTTTTTGATGCTTCCTGCTCTGGTTAACCTCTTTAATGATTAAGAAAGTATTTACAAATAAGTAACATTATTTTTGTAGCTTCAAAGCGCAGAATATCTAAAATACCCACAACAAAAACATAATAAGTAAAGATTTGATTTTTTTAAATTTTATCTCAAATCATATCTCTAATTATTTTTTTGATTCAATTCGATTCAAAATTTCGATTTGAAGCTTCGCAGGGCAATAATATATATATATATATATATATATATATATATATATATATATATATATATATATATATATATATATATATATATATATATATATATATATATATATATATGTGTATATATATATATATATATATATATATATATATATATATATATATATATATATATATATATATATATATATATCATATATATATATATATATATATATATATATATATATATATATATATATATATATATATATATATATATATATATATATATATATATATATATATATATATATATATATATATATATACATATATATATACATATATATATCAGGGATGCAGAGTCCCAAATGGACTCCAGCTTTATATCTCTACTTTTCCATATCTCTAGTAACCAGAAGCTCTAAACATGTCTGTTGACTTACGATCGTTTTTTGTTTTTGTTGTTGTATATGATTTTTGTGGATTTTTGACAATTGATTGACAATTTTTAATTTTGATGCAAATTTATAAATAAATTTGTAATTATTTTATGATTAGTTAAATAATTTTATGGTTAGTTAAATGGATAAAAAATGGGAAAAAGTATAAATTACATACCTTTATGACCACCTTGTCTTGCTGATCTGGAGTATTCAGAAAGCTCACCATACCCTTTCTGTCGCCTTTCTTCAGAAAGTTTTTCATCATTATCCATACGTAATAAACCTTTTAATAATATTTCAAATATTAGTTAAAATATCATTTTTTGCTCCTACAAAAATTATGTTACATCATCGCTTTTTCCCAAATAATAGCCCAGTCATTTTTTAATGTTATCTATAAAAAAATGTTCAATTGTTATTTTTAAGATTATTTACTTAAAATTATTTGCTTTGATATACCTAGCTATTGCTATAGAAAATTATATTGCTTTGAAATAGTTTGTATGGTTATACAACTGCTTCACATTTATGTAGATTTGCCCATGATCATAACTGGCTTATGATCATAAATAAATAATAAATGACTTATGATCGTAAGAAAAAAAATTCATGAGATTAAGTTTCTTGAAATTTATTGTTTTTAAGCTCAGATTCCTAGAGTCCTTGCCGCCATTATACCTAAGGACGGGTTCAAAAAATGATTGTTTCTCTAACCTAAAAGTCTTAATTTTTTTCCTATTAGTAGTCCATAAAGTTTATGGCATAAACTTATTTATATTTTTAGAGCTCTTGGATATCAAAAACTTGGATGAAGTAATCTTTTTGTGACTTTCAAATCCCGGAGTCCTTTTTGGGACTCTGCATCCCTGATATATATATATATATATATATATATATATATATATATATATATATATATATATATATATATATATATATATATATATATATATATATTTATATATATATATATATATATATATATATATATATATATATATATATATATATATATATATATATATATATATATATATATATATATATATATATATATATATATATATATATATATATATTTATATATATATATATATATATATATATATATATAAATATATATATATATATATATATATATATATATTTATATATATATATATATATATATATATATATATATATATATATATATATATATATATATATATATATATATATATATATATATATGTATATAATGAATCAATGTTTTTAAAAGGGCTGATTTGCTTACAACCCGTTTTTGAAAAAACTAATAAAAACTATAAATATATTTTAATATTAAATATACAGATTTTGTGTAATATATTTTTAAAAAAGATATGCAAAAGTAACATTTTATTACACGTTGATAATTATTATAACATTTCGTTTATATATATATATATATATATATATATATATATATATATATATATATATATATATATATATATATATATATATATATATATATATATATATATATGAATTAATAACAAAAAAAGTTCTCAGTAAGCATTAAGTTTCAGCATATTAATGTAGTTTTTCCTCAAAGTCACTATCAGCGAGAATCTCACATTCATTAGTTGGCCAGGAATACAGCTCGTTATAAAACTTGTTAAATTCTTCAGAAATGAATTCTTTTAATTTGTTAAAGTGTTCCACCTTCGCTTTTTTCAGTGTAACTTTGCCACTTGGATTAGCTGAACTATTCACCTGTGGTACAATACCCATATGTTTGGACATAAAAAATGTATGACATACCAAACCATTAACATTGGTGAATGCCTTAATATAACCTTTTTTATTATGCTCATATACAAAATGAAACAAGTTACTAATTGATAAGTGAACCTTATTTCCTTTTTGGTGTATTTTTAACCTCGGCTGCTGAAGAAATACAAGATTTTTTGTAATGTTTTAGGCTCCAAGTTTTAAAATCAAAAAATTAGTTTCATATACAATTTCTTTTACCGTAAACTTTTGTGATCCTGAGCTGCTAATAATAAGCTCAATGACTTGATGCATCTGAGAAAGATGGTCGTGTGTTTTTAAAACACTTGAAATTATACCAAAGTTCTTATCACAGGGGAGGAAACTATGCTCTCATTAGGAAAAACTGTTCGACTTTATTAAACCTTTCACTGTCAGTTAAATATAAAAAAAAATGTGATAAGGTCTGATTTTTATTTTGTCCATTACATTTGTCACAAAACAAACGTAATGTTTTATACTTTGATGGAACTGAGATCAAATAATTATTTAAAAAAGTCGCAACTTTATTAGGCCATTTTCTTCCTTGACCTTCATCGTATTTATATGTACATGGCTTTTTTCTTCTTTAATGTTATGTAAGTCCAGCTAAGTCCAGCTTTCATGAAACGGTTCCTTATTGTCCGGACAAAACCAAGTTTTTCATCAGAATCATTGTATTCTCTCATTATTTGTGCAGCTGTTAATTTTCTGTTTGACATAGATAATCTCGTAATACGACGATCACCATTTTAATCTATCTTTCTAGGCTGTCCAGGTAGTGGTAAGTCACAATATTGACCATTTTCCTTGAAACGCTTAATTGTATTGTGAACTCTATATATATATATATATATATATATATATATATATATATATATATATATATATATATATATATATATATTTATATATATATATATATATATATATATATATTCGTGTGTGTGTGTGAAATGAAAAAAATAATATTTCAATTTATTTTGAACTTTTGTACCTAAAGCCTTCTCTTTGTTTAGTTCAATATCGTTAATAATGAGATTAATATTTGTTTTTGAGTATATATAAATAAAAAAAGGAATTTGTACATTTGCTAAATCCTTATTTAATAAAGAGCTAAGTTTTACGCTTTAATATTTTACGTTAATTCAGTTCATGTCACGTTATTTTTGAGGAATTTTTATTAAGAGCATGATTATAAACAATTTTTATAATGAATAAAGAAAGATTATTTTAACAAAAAGTAAAACTTTTTACAAATAAACAAACTTGAGAATTATATTTTGATTAAACTGCAAATATTTAGATGAAAAAAAATGTACTTTTTATTTTTAAAATAGAAACTGAAGTCTTCATTTAATTTATAAGAAAACAAAATAGCAAGATGTTATCCATGCTCGTTTTGCAGCAATATGTAGTATTGCATTATCTGCTTTGCTGTAAGTCGTATATTATTTAAATTATTTATATGTTTATAATTTTCAACATTGAGCACTTCGTTGTTAACTAAAATATTTTACATAATTCACCTTAAGCATTTGTTCAAGTTTTACCCTAAAACGCTTTTGATTTTTTTCTATAAAGTTTTAGGTGAAAAAAAAAAGTTTAATTTAAAACCAAAGTAAACTAAAGAAACTTTTGTATTAGAAATTACAATGCTGTACATACATATTTAGTTCAGGTTTGGTTCAGTGACGGAACGTTCATATTTAGTTCAGGTTTGGTCCAGATCGGAAATACCAATGTACGTTCAAAATTAAATCTAGTGTGTACTTCCAAATTAGAACGTTAAATGTGTCTAAATTTGATTTCAAAGTTCGCGATGATAAAAAATTGAAACTATCAAAAAAAGATTTTAAGAAAATCTACTTTGTTCTGCCATTATAAATAACTATTTTAAAATGTTATCTCTGATCAAAGTATATATTTTTTAAACCTCTTTTTTGTGCCTTAAGTTCTTTTAGTAGTAAGCTTTAAATTAAAATTTAAAATTGAAATTAAAAACTAGACTTAAAAAAATCTAATTGTAAGCCGATTCGGAACCAAAGTTTATTCTAAAATGTTTTTTGAAACTTTGTTTTTTAAAATATTCAGAAACTATTTATTTAAAGGTGGTCCTATACTAATAAAATTAAAATTTTAAAGCACAGTAAAAGAAATAAAAGAATTTTTTTTTAGTCCAAATTTTGGGTCCATGAACCCTAAATATGGACTACGCGCTTCAATAAACAGCCTGTAAACTAATAACGGTATAATCATGAAATTTTCACAGCTTTCAAATATCAGATGATTACACTCACCCTGCTAAAATTAAATAATTTAACAAACTATTGAAAATTTTGTAAGAAAAACGGTTTAACGCCTAAAAAAATGCCCCGAAAAGGCTTAGAACCTAGACCTTATTTTTAAAACCAAATTTTTAGAATTAAAAAATTTTTAGTAAGGTGAGTTTGCGTATATATAATAAACAACTCCTAAAACTAATAATATTTAAACAAAATAAAATTATTGAATCAACGAAAAAAAGCTTGAATATGAAAAGATAATATACAATAACTATGTTACAAAATACATTAACTACCTTAACATAAATTTAATTTAAAAAATAACAACAAACTAATATCTAAAAACTCCTGCTTCATAAGATGCACCTTCACTTTCATTTACTATATTTATAAAACTTTTTTGTTGTGCACGAAGCAGCTTTTTAATTTGTTTTATTGAGTCAAGCGACTTCTTTTCGATGATCTTAATTTTTTCTTAGTTTACTTTGGTACTGTACTGAGTAGCAAGTATTAAAGAGTTTGGGACTCTAGCATTAATTCACATAGACAAGATTACTTTAATATATATTTCTTGAAGATACATCTCGTTATTTACAATTACAAACTTGGATCGCGCCAAGTGCTCAGCTTGTGGTGAAGAAGGAAGGGTAAGAGAGCGAGACTTGCTACGCGTTTAGTTAAATATTCAAAATAAAGAAGCATACTGGCTGCTGCGTTAGCTAACTAACGCAACACTGCGGCCGGCACTAATAAATTATTTTTAAAACGTTTAATGTTTCTCTCGTTAATAAATGTCACTTGAATTAACTGTTTTTTTATTTAAGTCGTGCCTTTCTAGAAAGTATAGTTTATTTGCAGTTCTTCTTAGAATAACTGGTTTGTCGCCAGAGACCACGCGTATTTCAGCAGAACGTACTTGACTATTACTTGAACTAAGTATATTTTGGATAACGCCCACTTTCCAAACCGAACGTGGAACTTTTGGATCGTCTATCAATACAAAATCTCCAAATTTCATATTAAACTCCCAATTTTGGTGTGTCACATTTGTGTGCATTTCTCGTAAGTTTATCATTTTTACATGTGTCACATTTGTGTGCATTTCTCATAAGTATTCATTTTTCCGTGGGTGCCAATAATGATCCAAAATCGCTTTTTGGTGCAAATACTTCTGCTTATCATTGCTTTGATTAACAGTTAAAATGTTATTAAAATTCACAGATTCTAAAGGTATTTTTCGTTCAAACACGAGATGATTTGGTGTTAGAGGCTCGTCGCCGGATACTTCGTACAGAAACGTAATCGGCAGGTTGTTTACATCAACTTCAATTTTGTTAGCATTTCTTCATAATTAATTGTTAGCATTTCTTCATAATTAATTCTTGATGTTTTTAGAACCTTTTTAAGTACTCTTTTGGTAGTTTGGATCATCCTTTCGAATATCCCTTTCCACGAAGGAGCAGCAGGAACATTAAAATACCATCGTATACGTCTTGAACTTGAGAAGATTTTTATTTCTTTAGCAGAAAAATTTGTACCATTATCGCTGATAAATTAAAAGAGTGTGTCAAAGCAGCTTATAAAACGACGAAGACCGCGAGTGCTAGCTTCCGCTGTACAATCGGAAACCAAATCTAAATAGAGAAAACGTGTACTACAACATATAGCAACACATATCTACGCTTTATACATCACATTAGTTTCAAAAATATTCTTAAGCATTATTGGTCCGCAAAGATCTACTCCCATTTAAATGCATATTCATCACTAACTCTAGATAGGGGTAGAGGAGGAGAGTTAGGATACTTTAAAGGTTTACTGTCAAATCTTCTACAAGTGTAACAATTTCTAACTATATTTTTAATTAAATTGCGAGCTTTTGTTAACCAAAACTTAGTTCTTAATTCATTAAGTGTTTCTTTAACACCACTATATTTTGTAAGACAATGATAATGTAAAATAACTAAATTGGTTAAGTAACTTTTATTTGGTAAATATATATGAAACTTTGAATTAAATGGAATTGGTGCTTTACTAAGACGACCTTGTCAACGAATTATCTCATCGGCTCTATTATATATATTTTTTTGAATGAATTTAATCCACTATATTTTTGCATTATTTAATTCAAAAGTAGTTAGTGTAGATAAGTCATTATTAAACTTTTTGTTATTATACTAATAAAAAATAAAACTAAAGCTGTAACCTTAAGAAGACGATTATATGTTTTAAAATTCTTAATGTTTATAAAATCTAAAGAATATTTACTAAAGAATATTGAGAGGTAATTAAAGTTATAACTTCAGACTAAAAATCTCCTTGTTTGCTTCAATCAAATGAAGGCCAAGAAATTAAACTATTGAATAAAAAACTAGGACCTTTAAACCAAAGGTCATTGTTTTGAAAGGTAATAAATTTACAACCATGAGATATAATATCCGCGGGATTTCTTTCACTTTCAATATAATCCCAAAACTTAATATCATAGAATAAACAAATTTTTTCAAGGCGCTTCGAAACAAAGGCTTCATATCTTTTATTTACATTGTTTACCCAATTAAGACAAATAATGGAATCAGAAAATAACTTAACACAAGAAATATTTAAAACACACGATAACTCTTTATATACAACTGAAAACAAATTAGCTAATAATAACATTGCCCTTAATTCTAATTTAGGAACAGTATTCTTAAGTAAAGGAGAAACTCTTGATTAAGAAGTAACTAGACAAGAATTCGCAACTCCCTCAGCGCTACTTCTTAAGTAAATACAACACCCGTACGCTTTTAGACTCGCAGCGCAAAAGCCGTATAACTCAAATTTATTTTGTTGGATGTTATTAACACACTTATTATACTATCTTGGAACATAAACGAAAGGTACAGAACTCAAATCATTAATAATATTGTTCCATTCAATCAAGGTCTCTTCCTCTATAAGTGAATTCCACCCTAATTTTAACTTACAAATCGATAAAAATAATATTTTACATCTTACTATAATTGAATTCACTAATCCTAAAGTATCATAAAAACTTGCAATGAATTTAAGAATACTTCTTTTAGTAGGTTTATTGTCTACTAAATATAATAAACCCTGAAAGGTAAAAATTAAATTATCTTCATTTTTATTCCACTTTAAACCAAGAACTTTAGTAATATTACTTGGGTTTAAATTGTCTTCTTTAATTACAAGGTTTTGCAAAGTTATAAGTGCATGTTTGCAAAGTTATAAGTGCACGTTTGCAAAGTTATAAGTGCACGCTTGCAAAGTTATAAATGCACGCTTGCGAAGTTATAAGTGCACGCTTGCAAAGTTGTAAGTGCAAATATATATTTTTGGAAATTATTTTTTTTAGTTTTAAAAAATGAAAAATATTGCGTAAAATATTAAAATAAATTACATCATAGCAATCGAAAAGTGGTTTTTTTTTTAATAAAAAAGTAGTGAAATTTTTTTACATTTTTACTTAATTTAGCATATTGTTATATATCAATAACTTTTCTAAATTAGATACTTACTTTCCTTAAGTTTTAAAAAGTAGTATACATTATTTAATCATAAAATTTTTTAATCATACATTATTTAAAAAAAATAAACAAATCATTTTAAATATTTTATTAATCTTCTCTTCTTATTGCCTTTTCAAACGATCTACTCATATTTATATAAAACACATTACACTGTTGACTACAATTATTATCAGGTTATAAAATATATTCTAGAGTTTTTTCAATGTCATATCGGGATTATCATTTCTTTTGGAGTTAAAATTGGATTTTAACATTGAAAAGAACTCCTCGATTGGGTTCGATTCAAGGGAGTATGGTAATAAAAACTTATAATATTTTTAATAGTACATTTTTTTCTCTTAGCAATTGAAATACTGCAGCTGCTTTATGAAATTTTGCATTATCTATTATATTATTTGGATTTACTTCAAAGAATAGTACTAGTTTGTTGGTATTGCATGCGCCGCTTTTTTATTGGAAACATTCAACTCCAAAATTGGAAGATAGGCACATAAGGCTAACATTCTCTTCTTTATTTGCAGGAATTGTCAAGTATGCTTATTTATGTTTTGGAGAATAGCCTTATGAGCGCATTTAATTGAGTCCAGTTTCGTCTAAAGGAAACTGGATTCAATAAAG